GTTTCTGCTCCTCCATGCTGTCACAGATGCTACCAGTGGACGGGATGGGCGGGGCTCAGTCTAGTGTTCTATATTTAAGTCTATGGTAAACATCAGTTACCACCATATGATCTTCCAGGCGTTTTTTCTCACCTTCTCCCTTCTCTTTGGCTCCGCCTCCAAGTCCATCATTGGTTTGTACTTTGGGTCCCGCYCCCAGCAGACCACCTGACCAATCACAGCAGCTCTAACTGAGAAACACAGCTGAAGTCCAGCCTTCTCATCTGTTATCCCCTCCCMTGTGTTCCTCCAGGCCACACCCTCTTTCTGCTCCACCTGGATCACTATGGAGACGCAAGGTTGCGAGTCTCCACCCAAAGGGCCCGTTGTCATGGTAACAGAGGAGGACGAAGAATTCCCATCTTCTCTTCCTCTCTTCCTCACTGCTCCTTCTTCTTCCTCTGTCTGCTTTTTCACTGTAACATTACCTTCTGGATCCTCCTCCCTCTGCCTTAGGTGTGTTGCCATGGCGGCAGACGGGCTCAGGATGTGGATGTGGTCTAGCGAAAACTGCAGATAAACTCTGTTACACACAAACACATAAACACAGACATGTGACGTGGAGTTTACACGAGTGAAGTTTAAATCACAAGGTTTGTTCCTTTTCAATCAGCCGACCTGCGACTCGACTGGAAACTATGATGAGTGGTGAAGGAGGAGACAGAAGTCTGTTTGTGTGTTTGTGTTGTARCATAACCACTATGTTTAWGTTCCTTTCAAAGAAAAAAAATGTGGCATATAAATATGGCAACTGTTTGTTAGGACAGTTTCAGTTTTTTCATTATGGATTATCTAAATGTTATTCACTGTTTGGAATTGATTTTGGGCAAGATCGTTAATGGTTTCAGGTGTGACTCAGCAGAGAGATTAAAGGGGGGCGTGTCCAGCGCGCGAGAGACATTCACTCCATGAGATCTGTGCAGCGGGAGTTTTGTTTTCTTTTTGAAGGATGTTTAAACAAATGTTATGAAAAAATAAGAGAAAGTGACTAWAGATTTACCCCAGCGCCACGGATCACGGAATCAGAAACTGTCGGGATCCAGGAAAACGCMGACACAAGTGAGAGGACGTCACCGAGGGGAAGAACAGAGCCCTGGGTGAGATCAAAGCTTTTTCATTTTTGACTGTGTTTGTGTGGTACCACTATTTTTTCGTCTTTTTGAGGGGGATTTTTGACTTTTTGGACTTTATTTTTTGGACTGAGATTTAAAAGCCAACAAATGGGAAATGTTTTCAGGACGATTCATTTTTGAGTATATGGAACTCCATTAAGAACTTCAGCCTGATAAAAAAGAATTGGACTTTAGGAGCCTGCTTTTGATGTAAACTGAAAAAAATAAGTTTAAGCTGTTATTAGTTGGAAATATTTCAATTGTCTAAACATTTATTTTTTGTTATTTATTTTTTGTGCATGGTTGAATAAACTTTTGGTTGATAACTTAAATGCTCCATAATATTAGTGGATTCCTTTAAAAAGTATTATTAATTGTTACCTGATGCCTGGGTCATGATTCCCTGTTTATGTTGTAAAGTTCGCTTTAAACCAAGCTAAATGTTACAGTGTACCTGCAGTGTCTGGATGTGATGAACCCATTTTGATCCAGATGTTGGTAAGAGGGGAAATCTGACTGAAGGAATCTCTCTGTTACCATGGTAAACTGACTGACACACACCAGACACCCTGAAACACAAAAGTACACTCAGAGGTGCACAAGCTTTGTGTGTTTCTGCATGGAGATGTGTGTGTGTGTGTGTAYCTACCTATAAAAGCAGTGTTGAAGAGCGACCTCTGGCTTCCATCGTCCATGCTGGTTTGTGTGACAACACAGCCTACAGCTCCTGTAGCATCTCTGAGCTGAAGAGTTTGTCTGAATTCAGACGTCTGAGAGGGAAGCTGGAGCACGCCTACCAACAGCAAGGGGCGGGGCCTAACAAGAAACACGAGGAGGAGGACGTTATGGCATTTTTGCATTGTAAGGTCCGGCTCGGTAACAGTCGAGCTGTCCCCGTGGGTTTGCTTTGAGTGGAGTGCCTCAGTGTGGGCGGGAATCATCACACATCACGTCGTTTTATTTGTAACGCAACAATGGACGACATTGAGGTAAAGGAAAGGTACTGAAGACGTTACGGGACAACGCTGAAGACTAGAGTGTGAGACGACAGAGTGCTGGTAGCTAAGGTTAGCTCGTTGTTTAGTTGAACTCGTGTGAAAAAAATCATTAGTTGTTGTAAACGATTACAGTAAAGTTAATCTCATCTGTGTGATGTGACCTCCCATCCTCTGAACCAGTCGATGGGCAACAGGAGCTGAGGTCAAACTGGGTTTAGAAGCCCACCTTGAACAGAACCACAGGTCCCTGGGGTCCTGTAATCGAACTGGGTTGGGCCAGAACAGCTAATGCAAATACACAGAACCCAAGACTTGAACAAAGGCCAGACCAGGTTGGGCCTTACAGTGCAAAAAGTCCATCATGTCCACCACTAGGAGGGGGCGGAGCCTAACAAGTCAGGTCAAAATTTATTTTGGCGGTTCCTGAGTTTACCTGGGCACGTGAGGGTTTACCTGAGACTGTCTCCTGTCAGAGGGTAAGAGGACAGTGTCCTGCAGGACCAGGACAGGGCCGAGTTGATCTCAGTCCTGGTCAGACCTAATTCCTCTGGAGGCAGCAGAGACCTGAGAGACACTGAAGACCAGGAGGTGGACTGAAGAGACTGGAGGAGGTCTGAGACGCTGAGGTACTGAGGGACAGAATGGTCCACATGGTACTGAAGAGGACACAAAGAAAACAGTCTGAGAAACTGCAGGACAGCTGAAATCTGTCACCGGTTTTCACCTTGATCGGCTCAAACCGATGACTGGCCAAACAAATCCTAAAAATCTGGGTGTTTTTGTCTGGGCTTTAAATGATGAACACTGAGAAATCTGACATTGTTTTGGTCCATGAACACACCACCAGCACAGCATGCAGAAACAAGTATGACGTCACTGTGGCCAACTTAGTGACTTTCTCTCTTGATTTAGTGAGTTTTCAGACCTCTTTAGGAACTTTTAAGCAACTGTCGACAAATCTAGATACTGTTTCTGGTGGGTTTGCAGTTCCTAAAATTAAATGTTAAATATTATTTTATTTTACATAAAATGGAACAAAAAATTGTGGCTCAAGGCAAATCATTAAAGTTAATATGTACAAAGATCAATTGTAGTTCTAAACATATTTAGAGTATTTTTCACTCACTTTTTGTCTACCCAACTTCTCCTACAGTCTATCTCAAAAGACCAAATATGTAAATCTTTGCAAGGCTTATTTTCTTAATGGGAAGTTGGCAAGAGTGCAGAGGTTTTTCTGATTATGTATTTGTTTTAAGACAGCAGATAATCTTGAATCCATATGACTTTATTTTAATTCACAGGATAAGACATCCACCTGAGTCAGAGGACAGTTGTGAGGGTCATCCAACATCTCTGAGTAGATGTCTCTGTGTCCTCGTTGTCTTTGTCGCCACAAAGTCTCCATCAGCTTCCAGGACAGGAGACAGACACACTGCTGCTTCAAGAGACCAGGGACCAGACTGGGACCAGAAACAGAAAGAGACAAAAACTGGTGATTTTAAACCAGATCTCAGGAACTGGTTCTAGTTCAGGTCCAAGTCTGACCAACTCCTCACCTGTTGGACAGCTGGGAGGACAGGTGAACCATCCACAGATACTGGTCTAGCCCCACGTTGTTCTGCAGCAATAACTGCGGTAACACTCCGTCTCCTGGGCAGCAACGGGAGGGACGACACCCACCCACCCTGCTGAAGGTGGTGACCCTTAGGCTGGAGCACAGGCAGCAGCAAAGCATGCTGGGAGAGAAGTCAGGACAGGGATGGTACAGGAAGTGGACGTGGTGCAGCTGCAGAAACAACAACACCTCTTTAACACGAGTCATTTAGAGCAGGAAGTGTCCAATCAGAACAGGAAGTGTCCAATCAGAACAGGAAGAGTCCAATCAGAGCGCAGCACAGACTCACCTCCACTTGGTCACCCACTCTCAGCTTCCTCCTCGCTGACGGCAGATAGGCCACACACAGGCCCACTTTTCTGTCAAGCACATATAGCCCTGCCCCATCGCTGACCACCTCTGTTACTGTGCCCTGTCAATCACAAGAAAGGGGCGGGGCTTACCGTACAGTTAAACTCTAAAACATACCAGTGAATCAGAGGCCTCCTACCTGGTAACTGATGACCCTGGAGTGCTTCATCCTCACTGCTGATTGGACAGCATCCTTCTCAGGCTCCACCTCCTCATTGTCCATCAACAAGGGGGCATCACCTTGTGCTCTGTCAGCAGGAGTGTGTGTGATGGGTTGTGTAAATTCAGTGTGTGTTTGTTGCTGTGTGGGTGTGTATTCAGTGTGTATGTTGGAGCAGTCAGTTACACACAGGATGTTGTTTCCTCTCCAAGCCCGTAGCACGCACACACGCAGAGCTGTCACACACACACTCTGTCCAACACAAACACACTGAGACCACCACAGCTTGCTGTCCTGTACACACACACACATACACACACACAGATTAGACACACAATCTCCTGTAAGAGCTCGACTTCATTGTGATGGTTTCCTACCTTTACGAGGACAGGAAGTGTGTGTTTGTCATCTCTCAGAGTGAAGAAGAAGAAGGTTGTTCCTGCCACCACCAGCAGAGGGCACACTGACCCCACCTGACCGTACACCGACACACGCTGACCTTTGACCCTGACACACACAAAGGTAACAGAGTTCACACAGAGCTCAGATGTGCTGCCATATGTCAGAGGTCACGTGATCCACCTGTTCCGCAGAAAGCCTGCAGCCTGACCGACGCTCAACACTGCGGCAAGCCCCGCCCCTTCGCCTACACTTGCAGCCAGTCTGTGCTCAGCCTCGTGACACAGCAGAACAGGAGAACCAATCAGCTCCACGTGTCCTCTCTCTTCATCCTGCCCCAAGGCATCATGGGGGATGTAGTTCCAGTGAGGCAGAAAGATGGGACGGTTGAGCCACAGAGGAGAGGGAGATGTGAGCTGCGCACAGGTGAGACAGGTGAGACCCACAGGTGAGAGATTCTAATAAAATACTTTATTAACCACAACACTTGCTCACCTCACACCTGATGCTGCCGCTGCTGTCCGTCAGCCTCCACTCTCTGCCCTGTCCCTCTCTCAGCCAGCCAATCAGCAGCAAGTTGACTCGAGGCAACACCTGCTGACCAGGCAGAGAAAGCTCCGCCTCCTTGGCCCACGCTCGCTGCTGACTGGTGTTCCAGGACAGGTTGCTGACGCAGGCCAGGTGCTGCTGGGAGACGAGTTCAGAGATGGACACCAGTCTGCAGAGAGACAACAGGACAGGAGGACACGTATGAAAGTCACGTGAGCTGTGGAAGTGATGATGTCATCAGGTGGGAGGGAGTTACCTGTAGCTAACTGGTAAGCTGTGAGAGACGCACGTCTTCGCCAAGATCTTCTGCAYAACATCCACACTCAGCTGATACACACTGAGCTCACAGGCTGCACCTGAAACACAACAAACAATAATTAACAGTAAACAACCATTAACACTAATAACAACAATAAGCAACAAATGTACACAACAACAGTAAACACATCAGGTGGTTTTGTTTCCTAAAACTAAATTATCTGACTTGTCAGACCAGGGGTGGAAATTAGCACCCGCTACTGGCCGAATGGGGATGAATGTGTGAAGTGGCGTGTTAAATGGAGTCGTCATGGCAGGTCTGCAATCTGAACAGAAAAAAACTCTGTTCAGCTTGTACTACTGACCTGTAAGGAGCAGCAATGCAACCGAGTTGCTGCTAGTCTGCTCTAAATGACAGAAGGAGAAAATTTGCACAGTAACCTTAGCAATGTGGCATTACATTTTTAGAGTTCGGCAGGTGGCACCTAAAATAATCATTTCTCAAGAGGGATCGAGAAAAACAAAAAACAAAAGTTAAACTGTGTTTTAAAAGAAAAACACTAAAAATGGTGAGTTCTGGGACTGGCTTGTTTTTAGTGACAGCAGCCAGTCAATGTTAAATTCTAACTATCAGCAGTGTGTGCCCTCCAGCAACAAGGCTAATAGCTTTATTTTAAAGGTACAAAATATTTTAATTAGAGGCCAATATATATATA